CTTCTCCAGGGCCTGGTGCCTACGGCTGGCTTGCTTTTCCGCCAACTTGGAGGGCCTCTTGAGCGAGTGTTTTGTCTTCGCTTTGCACTTGCCTGCCGCCTTCTGGTCAGAAGGTGTGTTGCAGCCGTAATTGGGAGGTGGAGGGGTCGTGCTCATGGATTGAGGCAACGAGGGTCCCTCCATTCCGCTTGAGCAGTCCCAGAAAAACTGAGAAGACGCTCAGGCAGGCAAGTATTGGCGGGAGCGAAATTGGAACAAGTACCAGGACTGTTCCCCTGATCACCCGACCACAACAAAAATATTCTCTCTGGGCTAAGGTCACGGTAGCTGAGGGAGGTACCGAAGGCACGTTTGGAACCACTCTTTGGGTTCCGCCCGGAGGCCTTAGGTGACCAGGCAACGTGCACCAGTAGAAAAAGGAAAAGGGAGGCAAAAAATATCAGTGGCGACCTCAAAAGGGTCTGTAGGCCTGACTTAATACACAGCAGGTATCAAATGGCGGTCACCTAGAGCGGAATTTATTCTTATTAATACTATTACTATTATACTAATAATAGGAACAACAACAATAATAAAATAATAATAATAATAACAACAACAACAATAATGGTGATGATGATAATATTGTGTGTTCTGTCTTTAGGCCTGTTGGCCCTGCAGTCGCTTAATTTTTAGCTTTAAAAAAAAATTTTTTTTAATTAATTATTATTATTATTATTTTTAAAATTTATGTATCTATTTTTATTATTATTATATTTTGTCCTATTATTATATGTGTGTATCGGGGGTGGAGTGCTGGTTGTGTGCTCCTATTCCGCCTCTATCAGTGATTCCAGATATGATGTAGAGCTTCCTTAAACTCGGTTTGCCTTTCTCTGGCAAGAGATGGCAGCCACAGCTCGTTTCTCCCTGAAAAAGAGCTTTGCGGATCCCAGGAGGGTTCTCTAGCCTCCGTTTCTTGGTTGGGGCTTACTCCCTTCCTGTGCTTCGTTTCCCTCTGAAATAAGCTCCGCAGCCTCCCAGAAGCTGCTTGTGCCCGGGGATTTAAATTTGGCGCGCTGGTGACGTTTTAAGGGAATCCCAGTCAGGGATTGCCTTTGTTGTCTGAAAACGGCAACTAAAATGGCGCCCGCGGTTGCCCTGGGCTGCTAGGGAATCTCCGATGATCCGAATTCAAGTTTGAATCCGGACCTGGAGATTGTTATTTTTTCCCCCAATTTGAGGAAAAAATCCCTTGGAAGGTTGGGGAGAAAAGCTCAGCAAGTGGTCTCTGCTGATGCCTTCCCCCCCCCCTTTTCCACCTCCAGAGCCCTGGGGCTGACTGGGATCCGTGGGGAGTTTTCCCCCCCCACACCCCCTTTTTCAATTTTAATATAGGATCAGGGATGATCCCAAGGAAAACTTAGTGGTTGGGGAAAAGGTTCAGCAAGTAGTCTCTGCTGATGCCTTCTTCCCCCCCTTTTCACCCCCCAGAGCCCTGGGGCTGGCTGATATCTGTGGGGAAATTTCCCTCCCCACCAATCCCCTTTTTAATTTTAGGTTTGAGATCAGGACTGATCCCCAGAAAATTTTGTGGTTAAATTCCTATAGGTGGCAATTTTTTTGGAAGGGGAAGCCAATTATCAAGGGATAATCAATCAATGGATTTCTTGTCTAACCTGATAAGCTGAGAGCCACGCCAAAACGAGTCTTCTCCGAGCAGAGACCAAGTTAAGAATGGGCTCCACAGGAAGTGGGGGCGTATCAAGCTTTGGCTACTTGGTCTCAAGAGCAGGCAGACAGAGAAAACCCATCCGTGGATTATCCATCTCCTGTACTGGAGAAATGTACATTTGGTTTGGAAGAACTTTAATTCCAGAACTTAAAAGAACTATTAACCTATTCTCCAGTCAACCTATTCTCAAAGTACCTGAAGGTAGGACAAGAAGCAATAGATGGAAACTAATCAAGGAGAGAAGCAACCTAGTACTAAGGAGAAATTTCCTGACCGTGAGAACAGTGGAACATCTTGCCTTCAAAAGCTGTGGGTACTCCATTACCGGAAGCCATTTGTCTGAAATGGTATAGGATCTCCTACTTGAGCAGAGGGTTGGGCTAGAAGACCTCCAAGGTCCCATCCAACTCTAATGTTCTATGTTCATATAAGTCAGGGTTTTTCAACCTTGGCAAATTTTAGACATATGGACTTCAACTCCCAGAATTCTTATGATTTTTAAAAACATATCTAAATGGGCACTCAGTCTCTAAAAGGTTCACCATCACTGGTATAGGGCTTCCTGCCTGAGCAGGGGGTTGGACTAGAAGACCTCCAAGCTCCCCTTCAACTCTGTCATACTGTTTTGAAGAGATTTGGCTGAATGAATAAACACATTTGGGTCAGCTGTAGATTTTGAGAGTGATTTTGAAGCAAAAAAGCTACACTTTTATGTGTTTAAAAGGTGATATAATTTTTCCTGTGTTTGCTCACTATCTAAAAAAGGTCAAAGTACAGAAGAAGTAGCTCCATAATAATAATAAAGTGTAATAAAGTATTATTATTATTATACACAAAATTTAAATGTAGAACATTTGAACAAATCACTCGTCAGCCCTTTTCCAGCACTCTCCACTGTTTCCTCTTGAAGGTTTATGTCATGTTACATCTTCCTGCTGATGTCCAAGGAGCATGTCCTTGCACAATTGTTTTTGCTTCATCCTCAATATTTATGCTTTCTTTTAAAGCAGTGGTTCTCAACCTTTTTAATGCCGCGACCCCAACTGGTCATAAGTCAAGGACTACCCAACCGGTCGTAAGTTGAGGACTACCCAACTGGTCGTAAGTTGAAGACTTTCCCTGCCCGGGAGCACCGTGCATGCGTGGTGCCGCCCCCTGCACTAGCCAAGGTGTAGCTGGCAAGCGGCAGAGATGGCGCAGGCCGACCACCGGCTGGGCCACCAGCTGGCCCAGCCCAAAGGAGGTAAGGCACCCGCTGGGCCCCACACACGCCAGCAACCCTCCCTGTGCCCGCTGGCCTTCCACCTCGCACCCCTGGCCCTCTTTTACTTACATTTTTAGTAGTTGCTCAGCAGGGAGGGGTGGAAACTTCCAGACAGCTCGCCTTCACTGCAGACAACTTGCAGCACTGTTTGCAGAATGGGACTTTTGGCAGGCTCAGCAGGGCAGAGACAGCCTGGACGATTCCTATTGGCTTTTGAAAGCCAATAGAATTAGACTCTATTCAAGAGAGTCTATTATATTGGCTTTCAAAAGCCAATAGAATAAAAGGGAGTAGCACAGCTAAGGAAAAGGGAGAAAAATGGCGGACTGCGTTGTTTGGCGACCCCCGTGAAATGGTCATTCGACCCCAAATGGGGTCCCGACCCACAGGTTGAGAACCACTGTTTTAAAGACACTTGGATTGCCACAACCGAAGGTTTTTTTAAGTGTGTCCTTATTTCACTTCATATATATAAAATAGCATTTGTTTTTGTACTTTCAAGTCAATTTTTCATGTCAACTACTGAGATAAGTTCTTGCAGGTTTCCTTGGCAAGGTGTTTCAGAAATAAGTTTGCCAATGTCTACTTCCTAGAGTTGACAGCTTGTAACTGGACCAAGGCCACCTAGCAGGCTTTGTTCCAAAAGCAGTATTAGAACTCATGTCTACTGGTTTCTAGCCTGGCACCTTATCCACTACACCAAATCCACTGACTCTCTTAGAATTTAGGTGAAATTGATTCACTATGCAAGATTAGTCTTAATTCAGATTCTATTCATGGCAACCCAACTATGCTTGTACATTAATATAAAGCTGGAGCTACAGATGTCCATGCTATTTATCTATCAGGTAGACAAATAAGAAAGGTCAAAGAAAAAAAATGTGATTTCAAAAATTTTTTGAAAACGTGTTCTGATTGGTTTTAAAGCAAATTATTTAAATGATTGTTTTCACTGTTTATACTCTATTTGTGTTTTATGTTCAATAGTAGAGGTCTTTCTTGCTTATCTACATTTTGAGACAACTAAAATAACAAGTGTACAGAAGATGGCCTTTTCTGTAATCATAGCCTAGCTGTGCAACAGTTTCCCTCTTAAAGTCCATTAAAGCCAATCATTATAGGTTTTCCAAAAATCTTTGAATACCCTTCTATTTTTTTTCTTTTCTTTTGCTTTGTTTTATTTGGCAATGGAAATTTTCTTCAATTATTTAATTATGAATAAGAATGTTTATTACTGCTCTTTTAATATACTTTATTAATTTTGCTCTTTAGGATGCAAGAAACCTGGATGGCTTTAATAATAATAATAATAATAATAGTAGTAGTAGTAGTAAAGTTGGAAGGGACCTTGGAGGTCATCTAGTCCAACCCCCTGCTCAAGCAGGAAACCCTATACCATTTCAGACAAACTTCCAGTGTTGGAGCATTCACCGCTTCTGGAGGCAGTTTGTTCCACTGGTTAATTGTTCTAACTGTCAGGAAGTTTCTCTAACTGTCAGGAAGTTTAGTATTTTAAATACACACATACATGCCCAGAACAATTCAACCAAGCATCAGGAATTCTTTGTATTTTTTCCTTTCGGGCTACAAAGGAGTAGACAAACCTTAAGGACCTCACCCTATTATTCGGTAGAGTAGATGGTAGTGCAGTCAAATGAACAGCATACTCAGATGTTGCATCCTGTTTTAAGATGTGTAATACACACTTTAAAAAGACTCAAAACATTTAATTGTACAAAACTGATATAAGAAATCAAATTAGCTAACTTTTCTTTTTAATGTTTCTATGGAAATATAATTAAACAGAGAAGAATAATCTGTTCGTGACCATGGTAGTGGTATCAAATTTATCTTATGAAAAAAAATTTCCATGTTCCAGTTGCTTCACTCCTTATTACATGCTGCAAAAGGCAGTAATAATTTTTATAGCCAAATATCTCTTCATAAGATACCAGGTGGCTTTCAATATTTACTATTTAAGTCATGCATGAAATTTAAACATTACAAAAAAGAGAGACTTACCAGTCGAGCTTCCTGAAATATGCACATTTTCAGAACGTTCTGCAAGAGCACTGTTTCCTAAAATTAAACATAATGAATAAACTAATTTTCAAGATAAAATTTATAAAAAAAATTCAGATACAGTATTGCAGAAAAGAACAAAAAAGTGAACTACTTTAATATTCTAATTTAATACTACGTTAACATTTAATTTTCAAATACTGCAAATCCTAGGTCTCTTGTGCTGTATTTTTAAAAGAAAAAGAAATGATGGGTGGGAATAAAATGATGATATAATTAAAGAACCAAAGGAATCTGTGTTATACAATGTATAAGTTATACAAAGAGCCAAGCTAGCTTGCAACAGACAAGGGATTTGAGCTATTTAGTTTAGTTTAGTCTTCCAGTGCTCTTTCACTCTTTTTATACTCCCTTCTTGCTTTTAAAGGAAGAATATAATGAGGCACGTAAAGATAATACAAGGAAAAACATCAATGGCTGATGTTTTTTCAGATTTTTTTCTTATAGGGCGCCAGTATATGAACCCAGATCAAGTAGATACTAATTGCTTTTGAAATAAGCTAGCATCTGCCAAGTTTAAAAAAAAAAATGTTGCCAGGTGCTTTAACAGCATCATCTGTATGATATTGAAGTACACACTACATCTCCGTTCCATTTATTAGATGGGCAACTACACATACCACACTGCGGAGTGGTTTGTTTCAGTGACCAAAAACATAAATCATGTCACCATTGATAATCAGGCAGCATATAAGTTTAATGAGTAAGTAAATAATATTTATTACATAAAAACAGTAAGAATATGAATTCCTATCCAAACAGAATTTAAAGTAGTATTTTCTATTGCCTAAGGCGCTCTGTTCCCATGGCCATGTTCCCTTTGTCTATGGCAGCGGTTCTCAACCTGTGGGTCGGGACCCCATTTGGGGTCGAACGACCATTTCACGGGGGTCGCCAAACAACGCACTCTGCCATTTCCCCCCCCCCTTTTCCTTAGCTGTGCTACTCCCTTTTATTCTATTGGCTTTTGAAAGCCAATAGAATAAACTCTCTTGAATAGAGTCTAATTCTATTGGCTTTCAAAAGCCAACAGGAATTGCCCAGGCTGTCTCTGCCCTGCCGAGCCCACCAAAAGTCCCATTCTGCAAACGGTGCTGCAAGTTGTCTGCAGCGAAGGCGAGCTGTCTGGAAGCTTCCACCCCTCTCTGCTGAGCAACTACGAAAAATGTAAGTAAAAGAGGGCCAGGGGTGGGAGGCCGGCGGGCACAGGGAGGGTTGCTGGCGCGCGTGGGGCCCGGCAGGTGCCTTACCTCCCTTGGGCTGGGACAGCTGGCGGCCCAGCCGGTGGTCGGCCTGCGCCATCTCTGCCACTTGCCAGCTATGATTCGGCCGGCGCAGGGGGCGGTACCACACATGGGCAGCACTCCTGGGCATGGAAAGTCCTTGACTTACGACCGGTTGGGTAGTCCTCGACTTACAACCGGTTGGGTAGTCCTCAACGTATGACCGGTTGGGGGTCGCTGCATTAGAAAGTTGAGAACCACTGGTCTATGGCGATTCTTCTGGGTCATGGTTGTCTGAAAGGCTACTAGACTTTCTTGGGTTTTTTTCTTTGAAAATATTTCACTTCTTATCCAAGAAGCTTCTTTAGTTTTTCAGGAAGAATTTCAAGAAGCTTTTTGGATAAGAGCAAAATGTTTTCAAAGGAAAAAAAAGAAAGTCCAGTTGCCTTTTAAAAAAAAAAAAAACAAAAAACTATTTTTGGGTCCCCCCCCCCTTTGTTAATGTTCTTTTATTATTACATACATGAATATGAGGGGATGTTCTTGTGAGCATGATTTTTGTCCAGCAAGACAACACTAACCTAGGAATGATATATTTATTACAGTTAAGGAGAAAACATTTGCTTCAACCTTTTTATCCTATGCCAGAAAAGAACCTCACAGCACACTCCAAATATTTATGGATTTCTGTATTCTGTCTGAAACTGCAGACTGAAACCTCTGGCAAACTGGACTTCAACACTGGTCCTTCTTCCCAACTTTACTGCACAGTACAATATGTAAATCTTAAAAAAATCTAAAATCTAAAAAAAAAGGAGGCATAAAGAAAGCACTTCTTAGTAAAACAGATGAAATCTAATACCCTTCTAAACCTCTTGAGAACTTTTGGTCTTCTAACCCCCCCACCACCAACAACTGTTTGAGAGACTTACAACCTTCCCAGAGCAGAATTATTTGGGGGGAAGAAGGAAAGGGCACAAGATGAATGATGAAAAAACTGAGTTGGATTAAACCTGTCCTCATTTCATGACTACATGGTGAGAGATTTTGAGCATATATAGTGGTCCTCACTCAAGGTACTATGCTGGGGAAATCAGATATAGGAGGAAAAAACATGATAATTTGGCTAAAAATTTGGTTCAAATCTAAAAGAATCTGAGGTGTTTTAGTTAAACAAATGTAATTCTCAGTTAACTTTCAACAATTTTCATGACCAAATCTAACAGCAAAAACATTATGTTAGCTGTTCATAAATAAATCATGATAAACCGTAACAAAATAACAGCTTTTTAGATAAGTGATATAAAGGGAAAAACTTTGAGCTAGCAATGAGTAATAATATTTGGAAGGTTAATGTAGAATTGACGCAACTACTCAAAATGATCACTGACATGGGAAGAGATGCTAGAAGGAAAACAAATAATCCTCACTGAGTCCATTAGAGAATGCTGTGTTATCTTTGGCTTACATAAACAAGGTCTCACAAAGAGGATGTACTGCGCAATATTGTACTGAAAGTTATTTAATATAACTGAACAAAAGCTTTAAAAATACTGTAAAAGTATTATAAAAGAAATACAACTCATTCACCATTGGTTGACTCTAAACCTAAAGAAAACTAGTTATCTTTCTTAGCATTATGTCCTTGACTCAGTAAACACTTATTTAAAATTGAACATTTTATATTGTAATACCTTTTTTTTAAAGTTGTCAACAATTGCTCAATAGAATTCACAAGCTACATTAAGTATTATGCTGAGAAATGTATAATGTAGGCAATTTCAACTTAAATGTAATGAAATGTAACTTCATGTGTTTATTAGCATAACTGATACAATGTTGTTTGTTGCAATGAGTTTTATTTGAAAAAGAAAGACTGCTACTTCAGAAATATTTAGCTACATAACTGAATCCCAGACCTAGATGGAAAAGACTGTAGAGTATTATGACTGCTTTCCTAAAATATACTTCTTCTCCATAAAACACTTCCATTTCCCATAAATATCAGTAACATAAAGCTGATGGAAGGGTGGATTGGGGAGAAAAGCTTCTTTTTTATATTTTAATGAATTCTAGCTGCAATTAGTTTGTGTCTGTGTGTGAGGGTGTGTGCGCATGCATGCATGGCTTTTAGTCAGTGTTGACTCTTGAGGCTACTTGAACAAGACTCTAGCAAAGTTTCTTGGCAAGGTTTTTTCATAAGTGGTTTGCCACTGCTTCCTTCCTAAGACTGAGAGAGAGAGAGAGAGAGAGAGAGAGAGAGAGAGAGAGAGAGAGAGAAAGAGAGAGAGAGAGAGAGAGAGAGAGAGAGAGAGAGAGAGAGAGAAAGAGGGGGGGAGGGAGGGAGGGAGGGAGGGAGGGAGAGATGCTGAGTAAATTTACAAAAAATGTATATTATATGATTGCTTTCTTAAAATATGCTTTTCCCCCTAAAAGATTTCATTCCTATAAATATACAATAAAGCTTACAGGCACAGTGGATTAGGAGAAAAATTAATGATTTAGGTAGTCAGGATAGGACTTGGGGTTTGTACTGCAGCACAATCTGAAAAATCTACATATTAAAAGAAGGGGAAAGAAATAGAAACAATAATTCAAATTGCCTTAAAATATGTTTAAGTACTGATCCATTTTCCTTTTATGAACAATCTTAACATTTTGGAACAATGTAGTAATAAAAATCATATAAGTTTCCAATTATAACAATAGAAATGAAGACAAATCTTTTACTGTATTTTGTGAAATCAAAGGTTTCTGCACAGGCAATTCTCTATTGGGGGCAGACAATATTACAAGCTAGGACAGGCTCTGTAAGCAGGTTTCTTTATCATTTTCTTTTCTTTTTGGAGAGAAAGGCAATTCTGTGTCTCTCTTGGTTAATTTACCTATATTACCTATATTATATTTTATTGTTGTGAGCTGCCCAGAGTCATGAAAGTTAGATAGAATACAAATTTGATAAATAGGTTATTATTTGTAATAAACTTATTTTAGCATTTACTTTTGCCTTATGACTTGCAGTCACAACGGCCCAAAAAGCACTTCTGGCAATTGTAAAACATCACTGCCAATTTCTTCACATGATCACATGTCATGTGCTTGGCAATCAATTGCCAAGTGCCCCGCAATCATGTGATCACCATTTGCAATTTTCTCCAGAAAGTCGATGAGAAAATGGCAGGGAAGATTGCAAGACAGGGAAAATCTTCTCATACACTGGAGGAATAGACTTCAAATTTGGTGAAAATGTTAGCAAATGCCATCATTCTGAGCCTCACTGGCCTTCATGAATGCTTTAGTAGAGGGTGTCATGGTTCTGATAGATGAAACCCATTAAAGAACTTTAAGGCAAGAATTCTTCCTTAGAGAACATTTTATTCAGGAAACAAAGTATCGGTACTACATAACTGAACCCAAAACTAGATTCCCTTCCCCCAGATACAAAGTAACAAGTTGCAAGTCCCACCTCCACGAAGCAGTCATAAATCACATTCTCCAATTAGCCTGGAGCACGGGCTCTCTCCCCAGCTCCTCAGCCTTCCAAAATGTTATTGGTTTGTGTCCTTGAGTTTCCACCGAGCTGCATTGTTATTATGGCTAGCTGAGCTCAAGCATCCCCCCCCCTTCAACACCTAATTTCTAAACAGAAGAAAAAGCATGTTAAAAGCAAAGTAAAAATGGCTGCAATTTCCATCAGTTGTCAGAGCAGGAACATCCAATGTTACAGTGTTGACATCGGGGTCCTCAACCTGTGGGCCACGGCCCACTACCGGG